ACACGCAAGAATCGAGAGTTCAGAGGAACACACTTTGCCCGTGAACCGAGTCAGCTCGGGGTTGTCAGTGTCTCGCAGGTCGGCATATCAAATCTTAGAGGAGTAGGTATGCAGAAAAACTGGGTTTCGAAGAGCTGCAGTTTGTGTGCTTGTTGACGGCCTGACCTTCACTTTAGGGCAGGCAGAAACAATTCACTTAACCAAAAATGGAATAGTATTGCTGACTTGTATTTCGTTTAGTATGTAAACAAATAAAAAGATGTATTCACCCAATTTCGTTTAAGGTGAGGAAGGACTGGTAGAAGTAGAATTTTACCACAAATCATATGAGTTGAGCTGACGTTTCCATTGAATTTTTACATAGCTTTGTTTTCCCAAAAGTTGTTCTCATCCCGCCACCAGTGGACCGCAGTTTCGACACCCTCAGCGGGACTCGAACCGCAACGGTGCAGGACGGTAGCTTGATACACCAACCACGAAAAACAAAACTTAATTAGAAAAATAAAGTATACTAGTTGATTGCATAGCAAAACATACGTTTACTTCATCGACAATTCCACAAAAAGTATATGATATGGCAAAAAGGCCTGGCCTTCCTTAAAAATTCACATTTGCCCTGTGACCCAAAAGACGCTCGTGGTAGTGTAGCCTAATGGTTAACGTGTCAAGCTACCGTCCTGCACTGTCGCGGTTCGACTCCTGCTGAAGGTGTTGATAAGACCAATGCAAGGTCGAAACTGCAGTCAACTGGTGCCTGGGTGAGGACAACTTTTGGGAAAGCAAAGCTATGTAAAAGTTCAATGGAAACGTCAGCTCAACTCATGTCATTTGTGGGAAAATTCTACTTCTACCAGTCATTCATCACCTTAAACGAAATTAGGTAAATAAATCTTATAACTGATTCACTGGTAGTCACGAAAAACAATAATTAATTCGAAAAACTAATAGAAAGAGATTTGTTGCTTGATCTCACCGAGCGACTAAGTCGGATTCCTCCTGATGAACTGAAAC